ATATATAGTATTCTAGAAATGTATAAAAAGCCTGAGTACATCGACAGTTGCATTTGTATTCATAAAAGTAAATAAATTCATACAATAATATTCTTTATTATGTTCCCCAAACGAAGTTGGGGAACATATTGTTTTTACTCTGTTTCTTATTATTATGTTCCCCAAACGAAGTTGGGGAACATATTGTTTTTACTCTGTTTCTTATTATTATGTTCCCCAAACGGAGTTTGGGAACATATTGTTTTTACTCGGTTTCTTATTATTATTATTATTATTATTATTATTATTATTCTTTTTTTTCTTCTTTGTTCTCCGGTACTTTTTTTGTCCGCGAGTGTTCTCAGAAACTGTTCACCCAACTAAGTTAAAACCTTTTTAGGGTTAATAGGTGTCAAGTGTAGGTGTGCACAACGAAGGTCATTTTGCGCGCATACGCATGCACGTGCGTGCGCGTGAAATGAGTGAAATGACTGATATACTTATTATAGCCATAACTTTTACATTTTTTATTGAAATGCTTTGAAACTCATTCTATAAGGATATATTAATAGTCTAGATAATATGACATGGTCAAATTAGCACGAACTCACGTGCATGCACGTGCGCTTCCCTCTGATTGGCTGAAACAAAGATTTCAATATCTCTTTTGTTTTTTGACGAAATGCTTTGAAATTTTAAACATAGTAATGCATTAGGATATACTACAATATAATATATAGCAGGTATCATGAAAACACGCGCATGCACGTGCGCTGCAATCTGATTTGCTTAAACTTTAAATGGGTATAACTCCTTTGATTTTCAACCAAACAGGATGGGATTTCGAACATAGATAGACATAGTGGATTCCTACAAAAAGGTAAGGTCATCATGCACATGCATGCACGTGCATGCACATGAGATGGATAAAATCAAAAATACACTTGATGAAGCGTATTTTTTAATACTTTTGGATTAAATGCTTTATTATTTTATTATATTAATGTATATAGATAGTGTAGACAAGAGAATATGGTCATTACGCACATGCATTTACATGTGCACGCGTGCAAATGCTAAAATTTGAATATACTCGGTATACTTCAGGGAAACGTTGTTAAAGTGTAAAATGCATAGAGTTTGTCGTTTTTGATGAAGCTTAAAGGGAGTATGGCACCAAAAGGGAGTTGGGGAGCGTTTGGGGAACATCTGTAACGGTTCCCGTTACAATTAGCCCTAGTTATGTTCCCCAAACGAAGTTGGGGAACATATTGTTTTTACTCTGTTTCTTATTATTATTATTATTATTATTATTATTTTTCTTCTTCTTCTTCCTGGAACTTTTTTGTCCGGGAATGATCTTGTAAACTGTTCGTCCGATGTAGGTAAAACCCTTTTAGGGTTAGTAGACATGTTATGTAGATTTGCGGAATCAAGGTCATTTTGCGCGCACGTGCTTGCAAGAGCGTGCACGTGCAACACGTGAAATGACCAACAAAATAGATATAGCCACAACTGTTCTATTTTTAGATGAAATGCTTTGAAACTCATAATGTAAGAATACATTAGTAGTATAGACAAGATGGCATGGTCAAAATAGCAAGATCTCACGCGCATGCACGTGCGCTTCGCTCTGATTGGCTGAAACTAAAGTCTCAATATCTTTCTTGTTTCTAGTCATAATCTTTTGAAATTTTGAACATAGTCCTACATTATGAAGATCTACAGCATGATATATAAAATTTTTCATGAAAGCATGCGCATGCGCGATTGCTGCAATCTGATTGGCTGAAACTTTAAATGGCTATATCTCCCTTGTTTTTTGACGAAATGCTTTGAAATTTAAAACATAGTCATGCATTAGGATATCCTAAAATATGATATAGAAAAAAAAATTCATGAAATCACGCGCATGCACGTGTGCTGCAATCTGATTGGCTGAAACTTTATATGGCTATATCTCCTTAAAGTTTGTTTTTTGACGAAATGTTTGGAATTTCAAAATATAATCATTCATTTAGATATCCTGCAATACGATAAAGATAAAAAGTTATGAAATCACGCGCATGCATGTGTAATGCAATCTGATTGGCTGAAACTTCAAATGGCTATAACTCCTTTGTTTTTCAACCAAACAGGATGGGATTTAGAACATAGATAAATATAAGGGACTCCTACAAGAAGGTGTAGTCATTTTGTACGTGCGTGCACGTGCATAAAGTAAAATTAAAAATACACTCGAATGATCGAATTTTTTTAATACTTTTGGATTAAATGCTTTTATCTTAAGTATATTAAAATTTTAGATAGTGTAGACAAGATAATATGGTCGTTACGCACATGAACACGCGTGCAATGCCTATTTTTAAATATATTTTGTATTTTTCTATGAAGACCTTGATTAAGTCTAAATTCCATTAAGTATTTCTTATTTGATAGAGATTACAGGGAATATGGCACCAAAAGGGAGTTGGGGAGCGTTTGGGGAACATCTGTAACGGTCCCCGTTACAATTAGCACTAGTTATTATTATTATTATTTTTTTTTTCTTATTTCTTCTCCTGTACTTTTTTTGTCCGCGAGTGTTCTCAGAAACTGTTCACCCAACTGAGCTAAAACCTTTTTAGGGTTAATAGGTGTGTAGTGTAGGTGTGCGGAACGAAGGTCATTTTTCGCGCATACGCATGCACGTGCGTGCGCGTGAAATGAGTGAATTGACTGATATATTTAATATGGATGTAACTTCTATATTTTTTGATGAAATGTTTTGAAACTCATTATATAAGGATATATAAAATGTATAGATATGATTACATGGTCAAATTTGCATGAACTCACGCGCATGCACGTGCGCTTTGCTCTGATTGGCTGAAACAAAATCCTCAATATCTTTTTTGTTTTTCGATGAAATGCTTTGAAATTTATAACATAGTCATACATTAGGATTCCCTACAATATGATATATAAAAATTTTCGTGAAATCACGTGCATGCACGTGCGCTGCAATCTGTTTGGCTGAAACTTTAAATGATTATAACTCCCTTGGTTTCCAACCAAACATGATGGGATTTAGAACATAGATAGACATAAAGGACTCCTACAAGATGGTATGGTCAGCATTTACATGCATGCACGTGCGTGCACGTGCACTTTGCTCTGATTGGCTGAAACAAAAATCTCAATATCTTTTCTGTTTTCTGACAAAATGCTTTGAAATTTAAAACATAGGCATACTTTAAGATGTCCTACAATATGATATATAATAATTGTCATGAAAACACGCGCATGTACGTGCGCTGCAATCTGATTGGCTTAAACTTTAAAATGGCTATAAATCCCTTGTTTTTCAACCAAACAAGATGGGATTAAGAACATAGACAGGCATAATGGACTCCTACAAGAAGGTATGGTCATCATGCACGTGCGTGCACGTGCAATGAGTAAAATAGTGTAGACAAGATGATATAGTCATTACGCTCATGCAATGTTGTTTAAGTCTTAAATGCATAGATTCTGCCTATTTTAATGAAACTTACAGGAATATGGCACTAAAAGGGAGTTGGGTAGCGTTTGGGGAACATCTGTAACGGTTCCCGTTACAATTAGCACTAGTTATTATTATTTTTCTTCTTCTTCTTCTTCTTCTTCCTGGGTACTTTTTTGTCCGGGAGTGATCTTGTAAACTGTTCATCCGATGTAGGTAAAACCTTTATAGGGTCATTGGACATGTTATGTAGATTTGCGGAATCAAGGTCATTTTGCGCGCACGTGCTTGCAAGAGCGCGCACGTGCAACACGTGAAATGACCAATATAATAGATATAGCTTAAATTTTTCTATTTTTTGATGAAATGCTTTGAAACTCATAATATGAAGATATATTTGTGGTATAAATATGATGACATGATCAAAATTGCAAGATCTCACGCACATGCACGTGCACTTCGCTCTGATTGGCTGAAACTAAAGTCTCAATATCTTTCTTGTTTTTTGACAAAATCCTTTGAAATTTTGAACATAGTCATACACTATGAAGATCTATAGCATGATATATAAGAATTATAAAGAAAGCATGCGCATGCACGTGTGCTGCAATCTGATTGGCTGAAACTTTAAATGACTATATCTTGCTAAGTTCTCAACGAAACGAGATGAAATTTAGAATATGAATAGGTATAATGGATTTATACATTATGGTACAATTAAAATTGAATACAAGGTCATGCATGCATGCACGTGCGCATGCGCTATACGTAAAAAATCACTAATGTATTTAAAAACAGTGACATTTATATTTTTATGATATTTTTATTGATTCTCACAATATAAAGATATGAAGATAAAGTCTTACAGGAAAATGGCACAAAAAGGGATTTTGGGAGCGTTTGGGGAACATCTGTAACGGTCCCCGTTACAATTAAAACTAGTTTTAATATGCCTTATGTATTTTTAATACTTGAATGGCTTCCACAATACATGTTTAGATACAGATTAAAATTATAATTCAAATTGATTTTTGAACCAATAAGGATGCTTTACAATGTTTTTCATATATATATTTTTAAAAAAAGGCAATATGAAAATTCTTGAAGCAGCTTAATGCAGGTGCTATAATGACAAATGATTGATTGATTCATTGATTACTATTGTTTAACGCCAAGTCGAGAGTATTTCAGCCAATCAGCCATGTTTCAGTGATAAGACCACTGATATGATAAGTACAAATTTATGTTTAGTGAAATATTCAATCAGACGTTTCTATATTCCTGCATTAAACAGGATATATTGTTATCTTTTTTGAATCAGTGATTTATAATACACAATTTTGCTTTTAATACTAAAATATGTTCACTTGTAATAAAAACATTCTTGTCCATAATATTTTAAAGAGTGCTGTCAATGATGCATCAGAATCAAAACATTTAGTTTTAATCCAACATTCATAAAAAGAAAGAGACTTATTGAACAAGTACATGTATATGTACTTCACAATAAAGATAAGCATTTTATCTCTGAGTCAATTTTAATATTCGAACGATATGCATACCAATATGTCTTCCTCAATTAAGAGTCTGTAGATCTAACCTCTGTTAGTCGAATTGACTCTGTAATAGCGAAACTTTTCTTTTGCTTTTCTTTAGGACAACAGATGGTGTAGTATAACCATCTCAGAGATTGGTGAATGATGTTTCGGAATTTTGATTCCCCGATTAAGTATATGAAAGGGTTGATGATATTGTTAATGAAGAATGCTCTGGCTAAAAGCGGTAGAGTTCCCAAAACAATGGGGCTTGGCGGGAAAATGTTACCTCTTTTGAATGTAGAGATAGCATCCAAAATACAGTTTGGAAGATAGCACACAATAAAAGCCACCGTAATTGCAATCATAAGTTTTGTAATTCTTGGGTTCGTTTTGTTCAGTCTTTCATTCATATTTTTTGTCGATTGCTTTCTAGTATGTTTACGAAGTGACAAAATCACAAGAGTATATAGCACAGTTAGCAACAAAAATACTAACGCGTACAAAACGAAGAGAATAGTAGAATAAATGAATGGATATTTTGTGTCTCTAATATTATCATCAATAGAACAGTCAAAACCAGTAACATTCCCAGGAAAATACACTTGTTTAATCCCTTGTATGATTGCATTTGGCCACGAAAAGGCAATGGCCAGAAGGATGGCGGCCGCGCAGCACAGACGAGCCTGAATTAAAGTGGTGGCGGTAGAAAACGGGTGACAAATCTTTTTGTATCTACCCGCTGCCATCACAACAAGAACAAAAGCTGATCCAATCTTAAATACATTCCCAAAGAAACGACCACATTTGCAGAAAGCTTCACTATAAAACATAACCGGGTAGGCGTTGTCCACAACTTCAACGGGCATGGCGAAAATACAGGAGAGAAGGTCAATGACCGCTAGGGTCAGGATGTACAGTCGAAATGTGGACGGTGGATACTTTAGGGAATACACAATAATGACCACCGTGTTTCCAATTACTCCAATGATAATTAGAATGGTTAGGAAAATAACGGTGGGGAGTCGTTGTTCCGCTTTTGACGCATTGATTTCTTCTAAAGTCTGGAAAAGTTGTGTAGAAGTATTTGAAATCACCATTGTCAGATTTTCCATCTTTTGATGCTGAAAGAAAAATGAATACAAAATTTGGGTTTTTCAACTTTCCAATAAGATTTTCATCACAGTTTTTCACATAGCCACAATATAAAGAATAATGGATAATATAACAATTACACGCAACCGCTTAGTAACATATGTGCCTCTTAGTAGCAGACAGAGAAAACAGCGTTGATAGGCCCTTTGTTTCCTCTAAGCACTAATTTGAATGTCAACATGACCTGGTCAAATGAATTATGAATACAAATGTCAATGCCCCTACTTCATTTATCCAAGTTAGGAAATCGAATTTGTCACCATTCTTAATTTGTTACACTATTTCT